GCTCGTGCTGTGAGGCAGCAGATAATGGACCAGTTCACTGGATCCCTGTTTCTGCTATGAAAGGCCTAGATTATGAGGATTAAGAATGTCAGCAAGCAGAAGAGATTCCCCACTGTCTGATGCAGAACATGGACATCCTAAGAAGCAACCTAACTGCTATGCCCAAAGGCTGCTTGTGGATCCACCTTACTTCTGAACAACAGTCCAATATGAATTGTAAACATGAGACCTGAAACCTCAGAACTGCTAGCAGAACACATAAGGGAACACATCCAGATCTATGTGAGGATTTGGATATGACTCCCATATCACAGGAGACAAATGCAAAAGGAGACAAATGAGATTGCATCAAGCTAAAATTATGAACAGCAAATAAATAAGTAAATAATAAAAAATTTAAAACCCCAAAACAATCAGCTAAGAGATCTAAATAGGTATTCCTCAAACAAAAAGATTGAAAACGGCCTATAAAAATGCTTAACATCACCAGTCATCAGGGAAATGCAAATCAAAACCACAAGGAGCTATCGCATCAGTCTAGTAAGATTGGGTGTCATGACAAAATACAGGAAGGGTTGGCAAGGACTTGGGAAAAAGGGCACTGCTGGTGGGAACATAGCGTGGCCATTATGGAAAACACTTGACAATTCCTCACAAAACTTAGCAATTCCACTACTTGATATATACAAGGAAAATGTCATCTATTGATGAGACAACTGCTTCCTCATGTTTAATGCAGCAGTATTCACAGTAGTCATGAATTAACAACATACTTGTCCATCCACTGGTAAATAGATAGAAAGAATGTGATAGATATACGTGAGGGAATATTCCACAGACAAAGGATTGAACCTCGCTACTGGCAACAGCATGGATGAAACCGGAGGTGGTTGTCTTAAGTGAAATAAGTCAAGCACAGAAAGATAACATCGCATGATCTCACTTCAGTGTAGAGCCTGAAAAATAGGTCATCTCATAGGAGTTAAAAATGGAATAGTGATAATCAGGAGCTGGTGAGGGAGAAAGGGGAAGTGTTCTAAATACTAGATTAGAGTTTGCTGGAAGCAAGCACTTCTGGTGGACAGCACAGTGACCATAGACAATGAACTATATTTCTCTTTTAAAAAATAGGATAGGATTTTGAATGTTTTCACTATAAAGAAATTTTGAATGCTTGAAGGGGCAAATATACTAAGCCTGACTGGACAATTATATAATGCACACATGTATGAAGATATCACACAGTGCCCCTTAAATATATACATTTTTGTATGCTAAAATAAAAGTGATGTGCTGAAGATTTTATCTCAGTTGATTATTCCATTATCTAGCTATATCTATGTATGTATCACGATGTTATATTGTACCCAATGAATATAGATAATTTTTATTCACCAATTACACCTTGATGAGCTGAAAGAAAAGTGATTGCTAAGCTGAAATATAACTCCTATAAACTAACTATCAAAATTGTTAGACATTCGCTGCCAAGTTACCAAAAAACAGATATAGACAGATGGTAAAAAGGGGAAAAAAACAGACTTATTATGAAAGGACTTCAAATGGCTAAAGAACCTCTAAGAAATCCAAACACTAGTAATTAGGGAAATGCATATCAAAATTACTATGCAGCATTAATTAAAGTTTAGGAGTTTGATAATGTGGAACCTACAATCAGTGGAGGAGACAGTAATTTCAAACCGGATAGAAAATGCTACAGAGGTTGCAGACAGTTGTCTCAGGGTTTAGGAGTCAGGAAGCATTTCCTACCATGATTTCTACCATGTTTTCCAAGCTTGAGGCTTGCATAATGTGTGAGACAGGCTTGGCTGTGGATTGGAGAGATCTGGAAGAGAAGAAAGCATATCTCCAGCAGAGAGAAATGTATTATGTGTGGAGGCCTAGAAGTCAGAATGCAGCACTGTAAATGAACAAAAATGTTGCCAGTGTGTACCATACAGAGGTGAGTGTGATGTTCTTTAGCAGTCTGGCCCCAGAAGTCCAACCCAGAGGCCTGCAAGCCACAACGAATGTAGAGTTTTAAACTTCCCTTTCCCACTTTTCCATTTTCCAGTCATTGTTGACTTGACATTCATTCACACTTGACATCTATCTGCAAATCTCAATGATACCACCCTCAAACCAGACCTTTGTTTTTAAACAACAACAAAATATTTATTTATTTGAAAGAGTTATAGGGAAGGAAGGAGGGAGAGAACCACCCACTGGTTCACTCCAGATGGCCACAATGGCCGGAGCTGGCCCAGGCCAAAGGTAGGAGCCAAGTGCTTCATCTGGGTCTCCCATGGGGTTGATGGGGGATCTGACACTTGAGGCATCTTCTACTCCTGTTTCTAGGCCATTAGCAGGGAGCTAGATTGGAAATGGAGCAGCTGGAACAGAAACTAGTACCCAAATGGGATGAAGGCATGGCAGGCAATGGGTTTGTCCACTACATCATTTCAGCGTACTTCTTTTTGGCTTAGAATTCTTTTCCCTTAAACACACATACACACACACACACACACACACACACACACACACACACACTTGCTCCTTTTATTTCTATGCAAATATTAACTGCCTTATCAGACAGGTCAAACCTTAACCAACCTAGATGAAATAATTCTAGACTTGAGATTTTTCTTTTTCTTCCAACATCATGCTATTAAGTATTTACTTATAAAACCAGTTGTTTATGCTTTCAGAGAGATTTTCATTTCCATGAATGGGCATTTTTTTTTTTCAGAGGTTGATTAGTGAGATTTACAAAGGGGGGTGCTGGGAAACTGTTGGAGATAATGGTTTTGTTCATTTTCTGGATTGTTGTGATGGTGTCTCAGACATATAATCTGTTAAACCATATCACCTTCTGCAGTTTAAATATATACAGGTTTCTATGACAGTTAAATTCTGTAAGTCAGTTACAGAAATGAGACTGTGGGGTCAAGATACACTGAATGCTACCAAACTCTTAAGGAATAACAAAGGCAAAACCAGAGCCAAAGTAACATGACTTAGACCGTTTAGTTGTAGTTGACTTATCATGTTTAAACACATGATTGTTTACTAAGAAGTTACTTGGTAAGGTTCACTCTGTGTTGAGCTAAAAAAAGCAATTTTCAAACACTTGGCCAACTATCAGAATTCCGAGGGGGAAATCATTAGGCAGATTTCCAAGCTATAATTGCACACATAAAACTCAGTCACTTTTGAAAACCATTGTCTACATGAAAGTGCCACGATCCTTTTTGAGTTCATGGACCCCCAGTGCCAGGCTGAAGTGAAATGTTCTTCCTTGGGTTCCACCTCTGTTTACAGAAGCTTATGAGGAAGGGCTGTTGAGTTACTGGGAAAAGACAGCAAGTTTGCATTTTGTGTGTTGACTGATTTTCATGGTGCTCACCATCATTAGAAAATAAAAGGTTTATAACTGCAAGGGAAGATCAAAGTGCCTTCAGGACTGTCTTTCCTGCTTGCTTTTCTGCTTCTGTATCATTGTCCTCTTCTTCACAGTAGCTACTGTCCTGCCTTTGGTGCTTTGCCTAGATGTGGTACAGATCACACTTTCACCAGCTCTCTCAGAAGGAACAGGGCAGGGCTGCAAGAACAAGCATCCATCTTCTGCTCCAATAGGTACTTTGCACAAGGCTCATGCAGTAAGAACAACATAATCCCCTGCTTCGGAGTGTGGCATGGCAGACAGCAGAAACGCCTTCCTATTTAATACGCATTTTGTACCTTTTTAGTTTGTTTCATCTTCTCATGCATTTCTTATCCTCTTGAGTTCTTGTGCACTGCTGGGGAGTTCTGTGCAGAGTGCGTTTTTAGTTATGATGCTGTGGTATGGGGAAGCTTCTGGAGCATCTCTTTACTGAGCTAGTGCCCGCCACAATCAGTGAGCAGGAAGACAAGATGGGACTGATGCGGTGGAATGGGTGTGAAGTCATGAAATGATTTTTTTTCCCGCTTTAGTTAAAAGAGTTAGTGTGGAGTTTATCACTTCAGAGTCTCATACAGGAAATGCTAAGAGCCAAATGATTTAGCCGTAGGATCCCAGTTGTATGGGAGACGTGTAAGAGGAGCTTATATAAATCATGTAACAAGGATTGTGGCTAATTTAATTCGGTTGTGTTGAACTACTTCCTTTTTATTATTATTATTTTCAATGATATGGTTTGTAAAACCCTCTGCCTTCCCTGTCCCCTCCCCAATCACTCTCTCCCACTATTTCCCCCTATATTATTAAAATAGTACGGTCCTTCAGCAAAAGCCACACATCCAACATCTGCTAGATAATTGTATCATGACATTGTAGGTGTAGGCAGTGGTGGAAAATCTAATATAAAGATTATCAAGGATCTGCTTCTTTAGGAAAACACCAAAGCATTTAAGATGGCTAGTGCTGCAGTGCCGATGCCTGAGTAGTTCGATACCTTATGTGGATATGCATGTATATGTGTGCCTACAGGTTGTTATCAGGCTGCTGTAGCAGAGTACTAGCCCGAATGGTTTATCAACAGCAGAAATTTATTTCTTACAGTTCTAAATCTAAATACTAGAAATTTCAGTATCAAGGCAGCAGCAGATTCTGTGTGATTAAGAGTTTGTTTTGAGGTTCACAGCTAGCCATCTTGTTGCTATGTCTTCCCATTGTGGATCTGATGCCCTCCCGAGTCCCATACAGAGGGCTAATCCCAATGTGAGGGCCTCAGTGTCATGACCTAAACATCTCCCCAAAGCCCCAGCTTCTGATACCATCATGTGAATTTTAGAGAAGGAGGGGGGAAGGACTATCCCATCTAGACTGGAGAGATTATTTGTAGAAATAAACAAAGCTGCAATTCTTTAGCAAAGTACGTGTGTGTTTATGAATCTGAAGAATGAACTTCAAAAAATAATTGAAAAAAATGTAGGTACTTTTAGAGGTTTTGTTTGTTCTTGTACTTTGCAGGTAAATGCTCCTTATTATCTCCTTTATTTGCTTTTATTTTCCATAGACATAAAGCTGTTATTATCTCAGGAACTGAAATGGCAAAGCAAATCCAGAGAGAAATACAGCAAGAAGTGGACTCGTGGGTCGCACTCAGAAAGAGAAGGCCTCAGCTCAGTATCATTGTGGTGGGAGACAACCCAGCAAGCCATATGTACGTCAGGAATAAGAGAAGAGCCGCTTCTGCCATAGGTGGGCATTTATTTCAGTTGTAGCTTTTAGTAAATGTATTTTATGTCTTTGCATAAAAATACGATGATAACTACCATAAGTGCCATTCAAATTACACATTATAATTCAGCTTATCAAGTATTATTCAATTACCAAAGATTGCCAGTATTTTTTTTCAAATTTCTTCTAGAATCAATTCAATGTGATTTCCTGTCCTATGATAAGATGTGAGAAGAATATATGCCATTGAAAGGACTCATTTTTACTAGAATTGCTTTAATACAATAACAAATCTGGTTGCTTCAGGTGCCAAACTTCCCTAGCAGTGGCAGTGGTATTGGTGCCTCTTGAATATTCAGATCCAGTAAATGTAGTTTGTCACAAATCAGTTCAAGTTGTCTCCTGGGGTGCTGGCCCAAGAATGCATGTGACACCTGTACTGGTGGAGATCTGCCGGGTGGGATATGGATCATCACCAGTGAGGCAGACCTTTAATGAAAAACCACGTCTTGGTTAGCCAAGTGATTTTCTCATTTTTTTCCTTCCAGGTATCTGTAGTGAGCTCATTCTAAAACCTAAGGATGTTTATCAAGGAGAACTTTTGGATCTAACTGATCAGTTGAACGTGGACCCAAGAGTCAGTGGTGTATTGGTTCAGTTACCACTGCCAGGTACACGGTGCTCTTCTCTACGTCCATTTTGGTTAGGAAAAAGGCATCTTAAAAGTTGTAGCATTACAATGCTACTTACATATGAAATATGTTCAGAAGGTTAGCTATTATACTTGCAATAGGTTTAATAGGTGATGATTTTTTGACACTGATGAAAACCTATGAAAAAAACTTTAATAATCTTTGTCACAATATACGCCTTTTGCTTTGCACAATAGTGCAGAAATGACAACGCAAGCTATAATGTGGGGCAAGCATGTCTTCAATGTCTTGCAAAGTTGAATTATCATATTGTTTTCTGTCTCTGAATAAACGTTTTCTGCTTTGCACTATCTCAGAGTTCTTTGTGCAGTTTTATGCACATGTCCCTTCCCCTGGGACCCTGTCTTCCTCTTCATCACGGTCCTTTTTCTTGGTTGTGTGGGTACCTCTCTCTGGGGATGGAGTGTGGACTTTCCCCAGTTCTTTGTTGCCCAACTCCACATTTGTATCTTTTAGCAATATTTCTCATTTGGTGACTGATAGCAATTTGCCGCTAGATGGCAGTGGAGATCCACCTGTCTGGAGCCGAGTTAGCTTGAGTCCTGTGTTCATTTCAGAGAATTAGATGTGAAGCTGGCTTTCTTTTGATGATCATATGATGGTATGTTCTTGCTGGCAGAAGATAGCATTCAGCCATGGGTATTTACTGTCTATCATTTAATCTTGATAAATCATTTCTTTCAATGTGTAATGGATTGAAAATTCATGTTTTGTCTGATTTGTAACCTAGAGTTTGTTGAGTTTTTAATAGAGTTTGCTAAAGAAGAAATTCATAGGACAATTCATGTGTACCTTAAACATTGTAACATAATATGAAGCCCCAAAATACTCATTTTTATGCAAGTCTAAAGTTTTTTTTTGGAAAACATTGGTTGCACTTATGACATCGATAATGTTTACACATCATTGTCTAGAATTTTCAGCTTGAGATTAAACAGTAAAATTAATCTAGTTTTAAATATTCTGCAGCCTTCATGGTTGTCTTGTAATTATCTATTACTAGTTCTTTTTCATTCTTAAGAGTCTCATCAAGATATTCTAGTTAGTAATAACAGAAATAACTTTTGTTTTTCTACTTCACTGTCATTTGCCTATATCATTTTTACTCAAGTTGTGCTGTCAAAGAATTAGCAGATACAGATTGGGAGGTAGAAAAAATGCCTCTTTTTATCATGAAATTGAACTTGTAGGGTTAGGGGTATTTTATTAACTACTCCTTTGTATATTCTGCAAGCATGGGCCTTAACTTTCATGTTAAACACATGAAATGGAACTTCTTGGTCATTTTGACAGATTGGCCGTGTCCTTCATAAAGTTTGTTATGATGAACAAATGGAACAATAAGCAGATGAGCAAAGGAAATGACTCTAGGCACCTGTTCCTAATTTGGGTACTAAACCTCAACTCTGCATTGCTTCTTCATTAGAAAGCTGAGTCCATTCTTCACAGTTATGGCGATGTCTGGAGTGTACGGACTCCCAAGCTCTAGTTACAATGATGTTGGAGATGAAGTTTGCATCAGGATTAAACACAATGTGCAAGCAGGTTTTGTTTGTTTGTTTTTAATCTCATTTGTGTAGAAAACAGCAGTGCGGTAGACTTCTGTCCTGTTCGGTGGAATCACGCCTGTCACAGACCAATCCCTGTTTGTATTCAACAGCTGTGCAGCTTTGGAAATCCAGAGTGTAGCCATGTGTCTTCAGTCACGCAGCCAGACTGTCTGTCCTGTAGCTGGCCCCAGAGCCAGCTGCGCCTTTGCTAGCCCATGTGTAGATTTTGTTGGGTCAGTAAGTGATCTTTTGTCAAGGTGAGGAAGACATCTATATTTCATGTTTATGCTTTATTTTCCAACTAAGTATTATGTTGGCCTTTAGATATTATTGAATTATATGTATTAAACTGATATCCCGTAGAAAGTTAAATCTTTTGTGGAGTATGCATATGCAAATAGTTTTTACAAATTAGAATAATGCCTTTTAAAGAAAAAATCACTGGCCTCCTTTTACACTGAAATACAGAGTAAGGTTAATAGTCACAATGAAGAATAAGTTATAATATTCACATGCTTAAACTATACTGGAGTTTTGATATAAATATGTAGTAGTATGATATTTGATGTAGGGTTTGTTTGGTTTAAGAGAATGCTCAGAAATGAAAACATCTAACTCTAACCCTGGAAAATAATACTCAGTGAAGTTTTAATATGGGTATTGTACAACCTCTATGACCATCATCGTTACTAATACAAGTACTGGCAAATATTTATTAATGCCTACAGTGTACTGAAGTGTTTTATATACAAGGAATCATTTAACTCTTAGAATAACCCTTACCAGTAGGAACCTGTTTCCTAGCTGATTTATAGTTAAGGAAACTCGGTGGCTGAGTAACTTGCAGAAGTTCACGGAGGATTCCCACAAGGCCCGCTTACACTCTTCTTTCCCGCCGCGGTGAGCAGTGCCGGCGCAGCCTCCAAGGTGAGCGTTCACAGGAACACTTGCTCACCAAGCTCAACCAGCCCATGTTGGTTTTCCTTCTGAGAAGCTTACTTCTTATCTGTTTGTGAGGCACAATTAGGCAGTGCGGGAAGACATACTCTGCTTTAGGCTACCCTTCCTAAAAAAATCGTTTTTCAAAAAGTTTATTTCAGTTAAATTTTTCGAAGGCTTTGAGAAGTAATACCTACCAATTAACGTAACAGCGTTGAACAAAGAAAACGAGGAACATGACTTAAAGACTAAGTCCAAAGGGATCAGTTTTCTGCGTTTAACACAAATAAAATATCCCAAGAGCTGGCACTGTTAAGAAGTGAATGTTGATGGAATAAGTAGTTTGAGAGCCATGATATTTGTCTAAAACATGATTCTTCATTTGGAAAAAAAAAGTTTTACTATAATTACTTTTCATGAAACATTATATTTTTGTATGCAGAACACTTACTACTCTTTTAAAGTTTTTGGCCAGAGTAGGAAATTTTCATTCCCCCCTGGACTCCTTTATATGGTAGACCTATTAATTCTTGTTTCTAAAAGGTTTCTAAATTTTTACTTACTCTTTTTTAAAGATTTATTTATTTATTTATTTATATACAGAGAGGAGGAGAGACAGAGAGGAAGATCTTCCCCCCAATGATTCACGCTGGAGCTGAGCAAATACGAAACCATAGCCAAGAGCGTCTTCCAGGTCTCCCACTCAGGTACAGGGTCCCAAGGCTTTGGGCCATCCTCGGCTGCTTTCCTAGGCTACAGACAGGGAGCTGGTTAGGAAGCTTGGCTGCTGGGATTTGATCCGTCCCCCACATGGGATCCAAGCACTTGCAAGGCCAGGACTTTAGCCACTAGGCTACCGTGCCAGACCCTTTTAGTTAAACTGTATTAATAGAATTTTCTACCCAAACATCTTTCCCAATAAAACAAACCCCAGTTTTGTATTTGTATATTCAGGATAATCCCACATATTGGAGCCAATAACATATTATTCATGAAAGCTATTTGATATCATAGTAGACTCATTGAATATTACAGAAAGTATGAAGGAACACTGTAGCTCCTTCACTGCTTTTCTTGTTGCTAACCCAAGTCTCATCCTTCTTTGCATGTTTACCTGCAGCAGCCAGGTCTGGGCCAGGCTGAAATGAGGAGCCAGGAATTCCATCATGGTTTCCCACACATGTGGAAGGGGACCAAGTACTTGCTTGGGTCAGCTCCCTTCTGAGTCATATCAACAGTAAACTGGAGCGATTGGAATTAGAGTGGTCCTAACGTGACCTGCTCTGATGTGGGATGCTGTGGATGCAGCTGCCACTCAGCCCTCTGTACTGCAATGATGGCTCCATGACTGACTGCTTTGTATGCTTCAAGTCTGAGCTTAAAAACCATTGCTTCAGAAAGGAGCTCCTGTGTCTGACCTTGCCTTCATTCTGTTATTCTCTATTTGAGATCAGCTTTCTTCTTCTTTTTTTTTTTTAATACAAGAAACAAAAGTCTACAAATTCCCACATGTGCTCTTATATGTCCCAGTTTTTCTTGGGCAAATTGAATCATATTTTAGACAAATATCATGGCTCTCAAACATACGCAGGTGGAGGCTGAATTGCAAGACTGAGAAGGGGAGTGACTTTTTGGTCCAAGAGGGCTACAGGCAGTTGTGTTGCCCCTTTCGCTCCAATCTTTGCTGCTGTGATTCCAAGAAGCTGCTTAACCCACTGCATCACAAACCCTGCCCCAGTGATGTCCCTTCTCATATGTGTATTCAACAGTTTGCTAGCAACACTCTAAGAAAGACAAATATAAAATGATGACATGACTGTTTACATAGACAACCCAATGGTATCTTTTGAAAAAAGTATCTTCATTATTTTCCATGATGCACTTTTCTAAGTGTAAGGATTTCCTTCTTTGCAGCCACTTTCTCCCTCCCCTTCCCACTGAGTTTCTGGAGCTCTTTGTAAATCCAGCATGTTAATCACTTGTCTGTCGTGTAGTGTGCAAAGATTTTATCCCGTTTTATTGGTTATCTCTTGGCATTTTTAATCGTTTTCTTTTTCTATTACATATGATGCTAATTCTAGGGTTTCTTTTCATTTTACGAATACCTGTGTCAGATTGGGAACCCTTTCGTGAGCCCCAGCTGTAATGTCTGTCCATCCTGTTAGCCCATGATGACCTTCCTGGAGTTTGCTTTCTATGTTTGCTGTTCAGGGGTCATTCAGAGATTTGCAAAAGAAAAAAAAATTATCTACAATATTAGGTTTTCTTCTATTGTTTTCTTCTTTTTTAGTTATGTTCCTTTAATTTCCACCTGTGACAGACTTTGTCCTCTGATTCCTTAAGCAAGTAGGGTTTTAAATTTTTGTTCATTGTCTAACTGTTTGAAGGCTAGAAAGGTTTATAAAATGGCAAGATCTCTCTGTGGCTCTCTTTTTTGTTGATATTTCCACATGCCTCCAAATATGCCTGCGTTTGTTGCCTCTTTTAGATAATTTTTTTTAAAAAAATAATGTCTCTAAAGTTTTGCAATTATTTTTTTGTGAGAGATTTGGTCCAATATAAACTAATTTATTATAAATGGACTCTAAATTTTTAAATAATATCAAAAGAGTGAGAATATTACTGAGAATGTGTCCGTTGAGAAAGCATTTGGAAAAATGCCAGATTGAGCCAATGTGACAGGATTGTTTGGGAGAAGTCTTCCAGGTGAAGAAAGGCTGAGGCTAAGATGGGAAAATGCTAACTAATCCTTTTGAGTCTCAGCAAGGAGATCCAGGTGAACTTAGGAGTAATAGCCAGTGTTGAAATCAGATTGTTAATTAGCTTTTAGAGCTGTGCCAATCATCAAGGGTCTTATTTACCATTAAAAGATAACCATATTGTAAGGTTTGGACAAGAATGGTGTGATCTGGCATGCACTTTTTAAAATAACCCTTTGCAATTCTGTTACTGTTTTGTGAACATATTTTGTGAGATAAATTGTAGACGTAGTGAACTTATTGTGAGATTTTTTCAAGAATTCTCAGAAGGGATATTGTGAGGCTGTAAAGTGCTAGTTTTACTAGGGAAGAAGAGGATTTTGCATCTTGATTGGGTATTGGGTGTCAGAGAAAGAGATATTCAGAATGACTCCAGTTTTTTGTTTGTTAGTTTCCTCGCTTGCCTGTTTTATTTTTGCAAGCAGAACAGGATGTAATTGCCATCAACGGCAATGGAAGTTATAGATGAGTCAGTTTAATAAGACAAATCTGTAAGCTCCCAAGATAATTAAACACCTAACATGATCAACTAATTGAGCTAATGTGTCAAGTTTTTCTTCTTTTTCTTTAACAGTGATTCTATGGAAAAGCAGAAGAGAAAAAAAATTTCAATTTGTAATGATGGAAGGTGGCAGTTGATATTGCTGAATCAACAGGATATTTAAACAGCAAGAGGGCATTAGAGGAGCAACCAGTATGAGCAGTAACAATTCACAAGGTAGTGCTAAGGGTGTTAGGGAGGGGACACAGTCTGGTGGAGAGTGTGGGATAGTGACGGTCAGAAGCGGGAGAGAGGACTCCGAGAACAGACTGCAGGAAAATGGTGTAATATACTAAACAACAGATTGTTTATACGCTCATGAGCTTGCATCTGTCCAACAGACATGGGGGAGACAGAAAAAGGGACTCTTGTATAGTAATTTTAGGACATATGTTCTAGCAAAGTTACTGCTCAAATGGTTACATGCCATATTGAAGTGCTGATTTGAGTCCCGGCTGCTTTGCTTCGGGTTCATCGCCCTGCTGATGCGCCCGAGAAAGCAGTAGATGATGGTGCAAGTACTGGCACCCCGGCTACACACGTGGGAGACTCTACTGGAGTTCTTAACTCTGACCTCAGTTTAACTTCACCCAGGTTGTGGTGGGCATCTTGCTTAAGCAAGATGTCTCCTTCTTTCCTTCTCTGTCAGTCTAGTCTTCAAATAATAAATAAAAATTTAGGGAAGGATAAGACCAGTAATGTTGTAGAAGTCTTAGGTAGAAAATAAATCACCGATTGGTTTCCCTTTATATATTTTTTGCCTTCTTGTTTTAGGGCGATGAGACAAATAAGTCATAGAAATGTACGTTCAGCATAGTAATTCCACTGTGTGGTCTCTAAAATTGTTGGCAAGCTATTTCGTTACACTGTTATATCTTTAATTTGATGGCCTTTCCCCCATAGCGTGACTAAATGGTTTTTCATAATCTTAAATAAAAGTGGAAAGACATAGAAAATGAATAATATCGTGTATTCCATTAATCTGCCATTAAGTGCTTCATTGTTGCCAGTGATTTTTGCTCTGAACCAAAGTGCATTTGAGGCATTGTGGGAAAGCTGATGCCAGTCATCTCACGGTTATGCTTTCTCAAACACCCAGAAGGGAGTGTTCAAGAGACTCAGCCACTGTCAGTCAAAAGCAGGAAACATGTTTATTTCTCTTACTCATATAACAAAGGGCGGTAACATTAGGTATAAAAGATTCTCTTTTTTTCTTTTTGGCAAGGGCTTTAACATACATTTCTTAATCTAGAGAGAATGTTTTCTTTGGAGGTCAGGTAGGAATACATTCCTTAGGATATGTTAGGGTTATCAAGTATCTTAGTAGGAGCTTGGGTGGCAAAATGCCTTTGGTTTTAATTTAAAAATGGTATTTAAAAGAATTAGTCTTTGTTAAGGGGGATAAACTAGTGGTGGAACAGAAAGATGGATAGATTTGAATTATGGATCTTCTTAATCGTGTTTGGAATTGGCTGAATCTCAAAGTTTTTGAGTTTCATCTTTAAAGCACTGGCAACAATATTTTTTTCTTTCCTAGTGCCTGGTAAATTTAAGTATCAAAGTAAAAATTGATATGATGAGCATTTTAATGTACTACTTAAATGTAAGCTGTATTGGGTCAAATTATTGTAATATGCTGTACATGACATAATAAAAGGTAAATTCTTTTCCTTCTAAAGGATATTTGTGAGGTTTAATCCACTGATGAGATGACATAGTTACATAAACACATGACAGATGAATTTTTAACGTGAGTTTTATAATCTTAGCATTTTTTATGGATACTGAGACTTTTTAGTTTAGACAGACGTGTTTCTTATGCATCCTTTGTGATACGGGCTTGTGGGTGCACATGTCTGTCTTTTAAATTAATGGCATTTAAGTAGCTCAAGGCAAAATTGTTCCAAATAGTAATCTGAGTTATGATCTGAAGTGAATTGCAAGAAGTTTACAAGAAGACAAGTTTCGGTCACTGGTCTCTGGTTCAGGCGTCCCACTTTCCCAATGCTTATATTTCTCATCAAGAATTCCACTGAGTGTGTGACGAGGATGTTACAACAGGATTGTTGGCAGTGAATGGGAAAGCACAAACTGTCAGGTGAATAAGCCCAATGGAGCTCAGTCTGATTGGAAAGAGGAAGGTTCTTAAAATGTACAAAGAGCTCTCGGTGTGTTCCTGCTCAGTGTCCTGGCCATATAGGTATATTAGCTAATTTTGAGGTTAGGAATGGACCAGTCTGAGTCCTGAATAAAACAAGTGAAGACTTCCAAATGGCTACTTTTCCTTGTGTTTCAAATGTTTTTGATTTCATTGTGAACAATACCCACTTCCACGGGAGTGATTGATAACCAACAGAGACTCAGCATCAGCGTCATTACCACAACCATTGTCTTGAGATTATTTACAAAAGGAAAGACTATTTTTTGTCCTCAAATAGTAAAATGAACATCCTTTCCTGAACAGTTTTACTGGAATCTCTACACTAATCTAACTTCAGAGAAAACAGGTTGACAGCTCACCTTGCTTCGGCTGAGTAGAATGAACACAGTCACTGAAGGTGGAAAACCGTAGATTGGAGAAATATTCAAAATCTAATTTCTCTTGAATGTGATCCAAATGACTAATTTTGTTTATTTAAAGTATGTAGATAATTGAATGTAAACTGACCTATTTAATGAAAGGTGACAGAAGTCATGGTTAGAATACAAAAGATATGGGCCCAGCACAGTAACCCTGTGGCTAAAGTTATCTTGTTGAATGTGCCGGGATCCCATATGGGTACCAGTTTGTGTCCCTGTGGCCCCGCTTCCCTTCCAGCTCCCTGTTTGTGGCCTGGGAAAGCAGTGGAGGAGCTTGCACCCATGTGGGAGACCCAGAAGAGGATCCAGTCTCCTGCCTTTGGATCGTCTCAGCTTCGGCTGTTGTGTTCACTTCGGAAGTAAATCAGTGGATGGAAGATCTTCCTCTCTGTCTCTCTTCCTCTTTATATATCTGTCTTTCCAATAAAAAATGATATAAATCTTTAAAAAAAGAATACAAAAGATATGATACAAGGTATATTGTTCTGAAAAAAAAAATGAAGTTGAGTTTGAAGATGTTTTGTAATGATTGTGTTTAAATATCATCCTTTCTGTAAAGGACAGAGTGAGTTTTCTGTAGCAAAAATACTTCCATTCCAAGGTATGGCAAGCTAAACTCACCTTCACGGAGTAGGAAGAACTGATCATGTATTTATTTACTTACCCTTTTACATGAAATTATTGACATCCTGCATCACTTAGTTCATTATTCAGATCGAGTTAAATTTCCTTCCATGAAGCAGACTAATTGTGATATTTAGATTTCATTGGGCTAATGTTTTTGGGAAAATGTGTGTGCGCGTGTGTGTGTGTGTTTTATTTTTGATTATGTTATTTAAGAAGAAATAATTTTTCTATCAAAGCTCTCTTGTCCCAAAATACTCAAATAGAAACCTGTTGGTACCAATGTCATATATCATAGATATGTGGATTTAAACTATTAGCTGCTCCACACTCTTACTGATATTACTTTGTTTTTCTCCTGTTTTTAACAAGTACCTTAACAGCAGTTACAGAGTAAATCAAGAGTGCTTTGACCTGTTATGTCTTGTAGATAGAAAAGAAAAGCATAACCACTTCACATCTTTCTGGAGATAAATCATAAATGATCTGGCTGGAGGTCTTCAATTTTATTTTCTAGAAAGCCAAATGAATAACTTGAAAGTGAGGCTAACCTTATTTACCTTTCAGATCATGTGGATGAGCGAACAGTATGCAATGAATTGCCCCAGAAAAAGATGTGGATGGATTTCATATTATCAACGTTGGAAGATTGTGCCTTGATCAGCATTCCGTCATCCTGGCCACTGCCAGAACTGTGTGGGAAATAATGAGGAGAACAGGTGGGTGACTTGTAGTGTGGAGGATGGGAGTGCTTGGTGCTGAACTGAACATGTGTGCATGGCCTCACTCCTAGAGAATGACGCAAAATGATTACTGGGGGACCTTTAGTCTCCGTCAAGTTATAGAAGTTAAAGAATATTAAAATATGTTATAAAAGTGAGAAACATGTGCCATATTACAACGACCTTAGTTGCAACTTATGTTTCTCTAACCTTTAAACTATAAACTCTATATTTTGATGGTAACCTTTCCAAAGTGAATTATGTTTTTGATTATTTTTAATAAGAAAATGCCAGCCCTGTGTCAACTTTGTTTATTTTCCTAGATTTTTCACTATACACATTTATTCATTTTTAGCTTGTTTTATTTATTTATTTTTAATTATTTTTTATTTTTTTATAATCTTGACATAATTAGGGTAAAAAGGTTCAAATGCTACATGAAGATGGGCAAGACAATCAGTTCCGTATTGTTTCCTTAATATATCTGATGTGAAAGGGGATTTTAAGGGAGAAGCACCACCCAGTCTCCCACCCACGCCAGGTCCCTGATGTGGGCGTGCTCCAAGGGTCTTGCTCAAGTGGCCTTAACAGTTCAACAATCCCAAATTGCTGCCACTCTTACCACTCCAAGCACGACGAGGTCGTTGAAGAATCCACTGATTGACATAGTCCATCATAGAGTCTCCGTTTGTCCAATATTTTCATTGCCAACATATAGCTGAGGGTGGTTGATTGACCTGTTCTGTCCTCTGTCCTTTCATGGCTAGGGTTCTGAGTCTGAAAGCTCGATTGGGGGGATTCCCAAAGAAACTTAGAGGTGTTCCTAGACCAGATTCCTGTATGCACCAGCAAGCACAGGGCCCAGCACAGTCCACCACGCTGATGAGCTGGTGGTTGCAATTGCTGGGTCGGCTCTGCCTCCATCCCTGTCTTCCATTGGAACCAATGGGTGCTGCAGTCTAGTTTGGTTCCGCCCAGCACACACAAAGCACCCACACAAACCAATGTGGGCTGCAGCCCAGTCAGAGCGACCCACAATAACCCCCATCAGGCCCACCCCCTGCCCTGGTTTGCCATACTAGTCCCATCTGTCCCATATCCCCTTCAGCTCTCATACATGTCAATGGGCATTAAAACCTTGTTCCATCGAACCAGCTCAACTATCCAGTCTTCACGGATGTTGTTGGGTGTCAATCAAGCCACGCCAGCCCCTGTCCTAGTTTTCATGCCCTTCAGTGGGAGGTGGTAACCCAAGAGGGAGGAGCCCACTATTTCCCTCCCAGGCCTCTCCCACTCCCGGATTATGCACTCTCCAGGTGGTTCTATACACATTATTCTTAAGGTGTGCTAGATGCAATGGCGCCCTCACAGACTCAAGAGGTTGTTAAAGCTTTCACCTGTCACATTACCTGACCATTAATTCTCTTCTGTATTGATGATTTTCCTCCTTGCACCATGGTCACATCCTTTTCTCACCTTTCTGAATACACTGTTTTCTACAAACCAGATATTTTCAGGGGGAATAAGACCCCAGAATCGTATTTTGAGAATATAAGTACTTGGAAAAATTGAGTTCCAGTGCTTTCATCTTGTTTACGAAGGGACTGAGTCGCAGAGAGGTGGGCTGTATTTATAGTGCCTTTATTCTCACATCCTAACTTGTCTGTAGATTATCTGTGTCTCTCCCAGAAAGTGCACGAGCTTTGTGGAAAGCTCTTTTCCCCATCACTTCATTTCGTCCTAGCTTTGCTCAAAGTTTGATGGCCAATTAAGCTTGGCACTGCTGTACTTTGCTTACTTTATAATTAGTAGCAAATGTATTTTCAGACCACACACTTCTAACTCTTGATGAGAATCTCAGTGTTTAAAAGTACTTTCATGGCAACTTGAGAATGTTTGTGGTTTTTAAATGAGGATATAATCAAAGAGGAATTGACAAATCCAAGAGACGTGATAAGAAATATTTATAAATAATCAGTGTGGGCACATTGGAGACAAGCTATCTAATGAGCTGCCTTTAATTAGATTTTTAAAAAGTATTTCCGTAGCCTGTTCCAGTGTTCATTTTGCTTCTTGTTGTTGATTCTACATTTAAATTACATTTTGTATTTTAAGGGATTGAAACATTTGGGAGAAATGTGCTAGTGGCTGGACGATCCAAGCACATCGGAATGCTCATTGCCATGCTTTTGCACACTGATGGAGAGCATGCACAGCCAGGGGGTAGGTAGCAGCCTAGCCTGGCACCATGCCATAAAGGCTGCTAACATTTAGCACATCTGTGGTTTTAAGTGATTCTGCCTCACTGATTGCTGCAAGAACCTTGAAAATGAATGAAGGGACTTTTGAAAACGTGTCCATTGAAAATGTATTCCTGTTTCCTCTTTAGGCTTTATAAATGCTTAGTTTAAGTTATTAACTATATGCACATTGAGAAAAGTGAGAAACCAGTCAATACATGAAAAGTCACCTGGCTCAAAAGACAGAAAACACAGCACACACCTTGGAATGTTGGATGCAGAACCCTTGAAACAACAAAGTCTTTCTTTCTTTTAGATTTTTTTTTTTATGGGGCGGTGCACTGTTCCTGGAGGTACTGCACTAGCAAGTTGATACACAGAGTGGACGGAGCAAGCTCCTATTCCAGCTCCAGGCTCCAAAAAATCCATTTAATACATTGTCCTCAGACAGAGGATATACCTAACGTTAAACTGATAAGAACAGATACTACACTTGATCTTAGCCACAGGCCGAGAAGAGATAACAAAGTCTCATCTCTTTAGAGATCAGCTGCACAGACAAGGAAGCCCAGATTTAGAGCTGCAAACTGATGGTCTAGATTAGACAGCCAGTCATTGAGCTGTGAGAAGTGACATGCCGAGTTACTGAGAAAGCTCAGACTAACATGATGCTGTTTGACAATGTGTGGCCTGTCATCTCTCCACTACTCCAGCACCTTGCTTTCTTCAGTCGCCTATCAGCTGAAATGAAGCTGATTAGCTCCCTGGGTTGAGATGGAGATGGGGAAAAGGGGACATTGTTCATGGTGTGACCTGAGCTCATACCATTTGCAGAGGATATAAGGATTACTCAGCTCGTCTGCTCACACCTGCAACTTTTTATTACGTGAGGAAAACACCAAATTCATGCTCTCAATGAAAGTGGTAGTTGACCCATGTATGTGTTCTGAGCTTTTTCTTCTTATATTGCCAACTTCTCTTAATATTTGTTTCCCCTTAATCTTTAATGCAGTAGATATCTCACTAGTTTTTTTAATTCCAAAGAATCCAACTATTATGAATCCAACTATTATGAATCCAACTATTATGAACTTTAACACCTTCAGAGGATGTGCCCAGTACAGTAGAGTCGGTTGGGAGGTGCTGCCTTTGTGATTCAGAGGACAAGTGGAGTCAAAGCCCTCAACTGTCAAAGCTGCGGGCCTTGGGAAAGTCACGTGTAGACCCCTGCTCCCTCTTGTGCAAAATGCAGATAATATTAATCATCTCCTTCACATAGTTACTACAAAAATGGAGCAGGTTTGGAGCGAAGGAAGCATGAATTGCAACTACTGATGCAGCAGGTCCAGCACACTGCTGGCACAGGTGTCTGTGGCCCTTACTGTGCCTCCACTCATGCCTACATGGATAATCTCTAGGCATAAATTGTAGAGAAATATGATTTAAAGTTAATGATGCAACTTTTATCTTTATTTTAAAATGTGTATTTTTTTGGTGGACTTTGTATTTGCAGTTTTTGGACCCTATCTTGCCTTTTTTTTTGGTGAATAATATGAATAAAGTCAGAATTTATAATAATCTATATGATGTTTGAATAGAAATGTGACATTGTTCTCTGTAAAGTATTTCACAATGGACCTTTTCTTTTGGGTATGAGTATATTATATGCTCAGATTTCATGATGAATTTTGATTTTTAATTATCTATAAAATAACTGATAAAAATTAAATTAACCATTTTATGCAGTTTAAAACTAGATAGTGTATGTAATAAATGATATTACATTTTTATAATATACATATGCTATTTATAAAATCATATTTATGTATGCAGTCTATTATAGATGCATTCATGTATAATAAAATGTTAAAGCAAGCACGAAAAAGATAAATGCAAATTACTGATAGCACTATCATCTTTGGAGAGAACTGCAGGATAAAAATATATTAGTTTAAAAATATTTTTCACTTTGTGATATATTCTCATTTTAGTGTTTGTTAAAACTTGAACAAAAGGATTAATTATGAGACTGGCTGTTTATAAGCCATAGTTAAACTTATTTTATTATTTTGGTACGTAGGTGCCGTTATCATTATAGTAACTAAAATGCAACGAATTATGCTAAAAAATTATATGAGGAGATTTGTAATATGGGTGTTATTTAATTTTATGCATAAATTATAGGAGTGTGGTGACTTATTATTATTAATATAATGTATCGAGAGCTGCTTACTGAAGATTTGGAGTCTGTGGGAAAGTTAATATTTCAAATGCCCATGTCTGCTGAAGCAGTAATTATGTGTAGTGACTCCATGTGCATTGCGAACTAATGGAGATAATGAAGGAGGATTAACTTGGCCAGTTCACATCTATAGAACTTGTGCTAATGACAACTTGTGCTGAATGGGCTAAGCATTCAGCTCACACTGTGTATTTCTTTGCCAGAAAAAATTCAGAACCCTAATGATTCATTTTTGTCTGAAAGCCAAAGATAATTGCATTAGGAAGGAAAAAAGCCTTACTGTAATTTGGTGTGATTAATACATGTCTCTCCATGGCCACCTGTGATTTTGATAGGAAGGACATGGCTCCTAGCTATTTTGTGAGGAACAGTGCCTTTCATTTTCAAAAGGCTTAAAATATTCATAGTGAAACTGCCAGAGGAAAGGCATTCAACATAACCAAGAAGCAACGAAGATTAGCTCTTGATAAGAATAGCCCATCACAGAAGGCTTCGGAAAGGATGTGGCATTTGAGCCACTGTGTAGTTTGCAGTTTACTGTGTGAGAAATATTTCCTGTCCCCCTAGAGCAAAGTGTCTACTGGTGGTATGGATAGGGGTGTCTGGAGACATGGTATATTAGTCATTTTAAAGTATTCAGTGACTCAAAGTAATGATTGACATCCCTAGGCAAGTATATGTACAAGAGAACACATAGTTAATTGGGATGAAATAGAGAGCTTGACAATGGAAAGTGTCTTCCCTTGAGCCTATACTATTAGGAAGTTTGACATCCTGTAGATCGCTGTGAATGCTCTGAATTTTTTTGTGTGTAGTAACCTACCGAGTTTCATCTTTTCACAACAAAAAGCAAATATCATTGACCCTAGCACCACATCTCTCCAATAATATTTTTCTCTCAGGATAACGTAGTGTTATAATGGCCAAAGTCTATGGTTGCTAACTGGCACTAGAAGAACACAGAACATTCATTTATTTCTGAGTTCTTTTAGAGGCACCTAGTGAATAAAGCCACCATCTGCAGCACCAGCATCTTATGTGGATAATGTGGATACTGGTTTCAGTCCCATCTGCTCCACTTTCCAGCAAAATCCCTACAAATATGCCTGAGAAAGCAGGAGAAGATGATCCAGGTAGTTGGGCCCCGGAACCCAAATGGGAGATCCAGATAATTCCTGGCTTTGGCCAGTGTGGCTTCAGTCATTGTGGATGGAAGATTCTCTCTCCCTCTCCTGCCTCTCTTTCTCTGAATCTGCCTCTTAAACTATGTTTAAAAAATGCTTTTAGAGTAAGTTCTCCGTGCATATCCTCCTTTTTTCATCTCATCTAAACCATTTTTGTGAAAATGCTACAGCTGGCATTAGGCACTTGTCCTTTGAGCTGCGAGGTTGTGGCCATACTGCAGTGGCGTTGATACTGCTGTTTTTAGAGAATATTGTGAAAAGGCCAACATCCTGATGATTTTGTTGAGTTCTGAGCGACGCTCTTGATTTCATGCAGCCCCTGCTCTCTGTGAGGCACTGTTGGATACTGCAGTAAAAACGACCTAGTCTTGTTTCTTCAGGATTTGACCCTCCACATCATCAAGACTCAGCTTTGGCAGGTGTATTGCAGAAGCATTTTGTTAGCATTTGACTTTCACATCCAAGCAGTCTTTCTGCAGCAATATTTTGTAGTTCTGGGATATTATCTTCAGGGGGCATCCTAAGTGAAAACTTATGAGAGTTTCTGCCAAATCTCTTTTCTATGTGGAAGCTGATTCCAGTTGTGAAAATTAGCTTTTTTTTTTTTTTTTTTTGCCAGCCCAGCAATGCCATCTCTCACATGCGGGAGGTAGGAATGTAGCAGTGGATGCCTGAGAAACTGCAGTGTGGTGTGAGTGCTTTGTGTGATTAAAGCTCAGCCCAGAGGCAGGTTGAGCCAAACACAAATGCCTTGGGATGTGAGACATGTAGAGTGATCGTATTCCTACGACCCAGACTCTTAGTCTTCCTGGTGGCAGCGTGAATTGGATGCTGGCTGTGTCTGTGGAAGGAAGCATCACCACATTAAGGGGAGGGGTGGGGGGACATGGTCTTTGACACTCCCATCCCACCACCTCTAGGTGAGGAGCACTCCTGATGAGAAACAAGGGATATTCTGTTGGGTGAGGCTTTCTTTTTGATTAGATTTTACTGACTCATAACTTTGAATTTGAGTGGTAGAAGGCAGTAGGAAAGAATAAATGCTTGTTTTACTAAATGTTTATTAATTACATTGGATAATAGAGGAATCACACCATTTTACATGTCTCCTAAACTCAGCAAACTAGAGTCTGAAACCACTCTCCTTGGAAAATGTGTATTTTCATCAGACAACAGGGGCTGTCCAAATAACATTGTTGATAGTAACACTACACCTTTATTTATAAAAGTGGTGTTGAGGTCTGTATCCTTCTCTTGGCCATTTGTTGCCCCTTTTTTCATAGCCTCAGAGTGGTGAGTTTTTCTATGAAGTATCCCATCACTCATGTGTAGAGGCCTGGTTGCTAAAAGCAACACTTGTAAGGATATCATAGTGTACTCCAAGCTCTCTTGGTGGCCGTTTCTCCTTGTACTTCATGTTGAGGCTCTGTAGACCTGTACACCATTCCCAGACATATGACGTTTTCCGTGCCTCCTTGTCCCTATATGTCCGGTATTCAATGCATGGAATGCCATTTCTATCACCCACCTCCTTTCTCTCGCAGACTGCTTCCTGACATTACATGTTGCCCTCACAATACTAATCTTAGTGCATATTGATTATCTGCCCATTCCCCTTCCTACCAACTGGTACTCAATATGAGCCTCTCGGTAATAAATGCTTTTTGTGTGTCTCTGCAGTTACACAGAGGTCTTAGCATGTCATGATGCATCTGGTTAGCCAATCACTGACAGTTCAGGCAATGTGTCTTATGAGTTGAGTGCATGCCTTTAGTGTGGACAATAAGGCCATAGACTGAGGGTCTAAAGTATCACATTGCCTTGTATTAAACAAATCCCTGTGTGACAGTAAGGGTGGAGGGGGGATGAGAAGTCATCAGTGGTCCAACACATACCAGTTCCTTTGTATTTAAAATCCTATGCATTTATATAAAAGGGTAACTTAAAACATTTAAAAAATCTCTTTTGGGCATCTAATTTGTAATGCTATCTTTCTTTTTAAAAAATTATTTTTATTCAAAAGGCACATATTCAGAAAAGAGAAGGAGATACAGAGAGAAAGAGCTTCTATCTGCTGGTTCACTTCCCAAGTGACCACAACAGCTGGAGCTGAGCTCAATGCAAAGCCAGAAGCCGGGAGCTTCTTTTGGGATTCTCATGTGGGTGTGGCGTCCCAGGGCTTTGGGCTAACCTCTACTGCTGTCCCAGGCTACAAGCAGGGATCTAGGAGGGATGGGGAGCATACAAGGTGAGGACTTAAGCTTCTAGGCTACTACACTGGGTCCACAATGCTATCTTATTTTTTTAAGGATTTATTTATTTATTTTAAAGATTTATTTTTATTATTTTTTTATTGGAAAGGCGGATATACAGAGAGGAGAGACAGAGAGGAAGATCTTCCCTCGGATGATTCACTCCCCAAGTGAGCACAACGGGCCGATACTATGCCGATCCGAAGCCAGGAGCCTCTTCTGGGTCTCCCACGCGGGTGCAGGTTCCCAAAGCTTTGGGCCATCCTGGACTGCTTTCCCGGGCCACAGGCAGGGAGCTGGAAGGAAAGCGGGGCTGCCGGGAAAGAACCGGCGCCCATATGGGATCCCAGGCATGCAAGGCGAGGACCTTAACCACTGCGCCGGGCCCGGATTTATTTATTTTTATTGGAAATTAAGATTTACAGAGAGGAGAGACAGAGAGGAAGATCCTCCATCCACTGACTCACTCCTCAAAGTGGCCACAATGGCTGGAGCTGAGCCAATCTGGAGCCAAGAGCCAGGAGTTTCTTCTGGGTCTTCCACACAGGTGCAGGGTCCCAAGGCTTTGGGCCATCCTGGACTGCTTTCCCAGGCCACAAGCAGAGAGCTGGATAGGAAGCGGGGCTGCCAGGACATGAACCAGTGCTCATATGGGATTCCAGCACAGGCAAAGTGAGGACCTTAGCCACCAGGCTGCCACATCAGGCCCTGTAATGCTATCTTTTAAAAGAGGTACAATTTCTGTGCCAAATATGAGGAGTGTGATGGTGTATAAGTGAAACATTTTCTTATCCTTCCTGAGCTTACACTCTAGTAGGAGAGATGGTAATTCAGTTATTGGACATAACTAGTTACGAATTGGGATTGTGTAAAGAGCTTGAAGGGAGAAGCAGACCTTTCCAAGGAAAAAGCTGGATGAATGATTTCTGACTACAATTCTGTGTGAATATTCCAGCCCTTTCTCTTAGTCTCTCTGGCTTTCCTATTATAATGCTATGTTTGCACTGTCTTCTGTTCCTCTTCTTTACTTACAGATAAAAATGTTTTAGTTGTAATTGCATAGCAATAAGTAAATCACAATGGAAATGAGAAATAGGAAAGAAAAAAGAATAATGAGGGACTGGAGCTAAAGTGTAGTCAAAGAGAAACTTTTTACCAAAAGCAAGCATATCTGAACACAATGGTTTTTTACGTATTGTTGCAGAATATGTTTGGTAACCTCATTTAATGGAGCCTATAAACTGTACTTGCTATGGTTAGGGAACTTGTTTCACCACGAGGGATGATTATCAAGGGGAAAATGATTAGTTATCCAGTTCAACAGCTTTAATATTAAAAAAGCAAATGTATAATCAGGAAAAGTGAAACTTTTGACATTGAGATTGAACATGAATTTGTTCTGAGTTTCTTTACAAATAAGAATTGTACAAAGGATTTTCATAGCATGCTCTTAAAATTAATAAAATTTTCACTTTAAAAATATTTGTATATTGGAGAGATAGAGTGAGACACACACCCCACGTGCCTTCAGAAAGAGAGAGAGCGTCCACCTGCTGTTTCACTTTCTGAATGGCTGGAATAGCCAGCGCTGGACCATGCTGAAACAAGCAGCCAGGAACTCTATCCTGGTCTCCCACATGTGTGGCACAGTGCACAGTACTTGGACCCTATCTGCTACTTTCCCTGGTGTACTAGCAGGAAAATTAAACTCAAAATAGCATTCTGATTATGGGGTGCTAGAATTGCTAGCTGCAGCTTAACCTATTAATACCACAATGCTGACCCCAAATAGGGACAACTAATAGGTATTCTGATCAGAGGTGGGCTTCCCCCGGGAGCCCCTTTCATAGCATTCTTCCATTGATGGCATTTCAAATCATTTTTCTATGGTCATGATTGAAAGTGCCAGATTTCCTTGGATCTCGTGGGATCTGTTGGGGTCAGGAGAGACGCTGGTAGCCTTCTGGAGTCAAATGGCTTCCTGTTGAAACAGCTTCTCTGAGTTCATCTGCAAATCACCTTGGGTTCTACATTGACCTGCATGCCAGAGGGCTCTTCTGCCCATATTCCCATTCTCCCTGTTACCATTAAGGAGGACATGTGGGCTTTTTGCACGTTAAGGTGCACCTGTCACCTCCAGGGTACAGAGCTTTGCAGCTTGGAGATTTGTAGCTGTTAACCATCATGTCATTGTGTGTGTTTTGTCACTGTCCTTTTTCTTGTGTGGCATCTACTCACTTCCTTTGGTGACATAGTTCCATGGGAAGCATGCTTTAGAGTTTTCCTTAAATTGGAGATTTGCAGGTTTTGTTGCTGGTGGTGTTAAGCGTGTACCTTTTGTCATCTTCTGAGGGGGAGAAAAGATGCTTGCCTTTTCTTATCTCTACTTTCTCTCTACCCTCTTCCTTGGCTCAGATTTTAAGCACTGGGCACCCGTAGGCTGATCACCTCTCATTCATCATTCATTGTGTTAACCTTTTTACTTAAAAATATCCTGTTATATACCAGGAGCTCTTCATTTTTGTAAACACACAATTTTGCAGTCAGTCCATTTCCTACTGCTGTCCTTGAGCTTGGAATCTACTTTTCTTCCTTTCTGGGCCTTGTCTACTGTTTGTGCTTTAAAAGCTGAAGACTCAGTGCCTCTTCTAGGAGCTCTTCCTCCATAACTCCTCATGGCAGAATTAATCTCTCAGTTGTGCTTCCACAGGTCGTTTTCCTATTTTTTTAATAAACTGGTTGTTTTTAGTATTTGTTTACGTTGTTATTAAGCTAACAAGTATTCCCCTACACCAATGTGGGTTATCCAGTAAAAAGGAAATTTTCAAATCCTGGTTTTTCTAGAACATTACCTACCTTCTTTTGCTCTCATTTGGTTTTTTTTTTTTTTAATTCACTCAATTTGAAGTTAAAATATTTTGATTCATCTAGACTTCCTTTTGTAGTGTTTGCACTCAAAATGATGTAAACATATGAAAACAACTCTTCTCCCTCGGGAAGTAACTGAAATGCCTCTAGACTAAGGGTGTTTTTAACATTGAAAAACAGCTATAATCATTGATGGGGTTCTTCTGCATTTCAGGCGATGCAGCTGTGACGATAGCCCACAGATACATCCTCAAAGAACAACGAAGATCCACGCTCAGCTGGCGGATATTATCATAGAGCTGCTGGTAAGTCCTTGGTTCACCATTACCTATGGGGTGTCCTAAGCAGAGTAATGCTGACGTACTTGAAAGAACAGCTTCTTGGTAGAGTGAGGTATGTGTCTGATGAACTTGTGGCATGTGGATCTTGTTACCTGGGCAATCGTCATATAGGTCCACTGTCACAGCCTTGGTACTTGCCTCTTTGTGGTTGACAGCTGCATCTGGAACAGCAGATTTAGAACAGGAACACATGTGATTGCTTTGATTTAGAACAGGAACACATGTGATTGCTTTGACAACCATCACTGTGGAGCATTTACAGAAAAAGGTGAGGGTGGTCCAACAGTTTGGCTACTAGAAAATGAACAAAAATTGCACTTTCAAATTGTATTAATGAGAGTAGGATGAGTGGGTAGGAGGAGGAGAGAGACAACCACCGTGCTGTACTGGCAACAACTGCTGAACTATAAAACAGATGCTGATGGACTAGACCATGTCCAAAGGATGATAATGCTTCCGGGAAGGATGGCTTACAGACGTGATCTAATGAGCTGAGATTGTTTGCTCTAGAACAGAGAAAGTACAACTTGAAGAAGATGGCAATAGTTTTGTTTTGTTTTTTCTTAAGTAACATAAGAAAAAATGGACAAATCCATTAGTTTTATAATATAAATTGCCTCCAAGCTTCCAGTTTTTGATATAGTATGTGCTCTGTCACTTTACCAGTTGGTAGATAAAATGTGAGATAATGGACATTATTATTTGCTAGTTTTTACTAATATTAGTTTCATTTTAGATGACAAAACAATCCATGCTCTCTTTTAACTTTTTATTAAAATATTTTAATAAAGAATGACAAAAGGCATGAAAATCTATGATTATTTTGGGCATATGTTCTCTGGGAAAGGTATCACATTCCTTCTTTACTCCTTGCAGTTTGGACCATTGTAGAGTCTGTGTATTGAGTACACAGATTAAGTTGTAATGTTTCCTTCAATTCTGAGATTTTGTTCTCTCTCTCTCTCCATATACACATATGTACGTATATATCTGTTTAAAAGGTTTATGCTGTTTATGGAAAGACAGAATGAGAGAGAAAGCAGGAAACAGAGAACTCTTCCATTTGCTGGTTCACTCCCCAGGTGGCTGAAGTGACTGGGATCGGCCCAGGCTGCAGCCAGGAGCCAGGAACACTATTGTTCTGGTCTCCCAAGTCCTTCGGCCATCTCCTGCTGCCTTCTCAGGTGCATTAGCAAGGAGCTGGACTGGAAGCAGAGCAAATAGAACTTGAAGCAGCATTCCAATTTGGGATGCCGGTGTTGTAAGCTGTGGCTTAGCTTGCTGTAGCACAATGCTGGTACCAATTGTTCTATATTTTAATATGTGAGGTAAATATTTGTGAGCTGTACATTTATATATTTCATATTTATTATAAATGAATGGTTGAATTTATTTAAATTTATTTGTGTTGTCCTGAATAGTAATTTAAGAAGAGTTTAGAATATAGGAAGTATTGGAATATAAAGGAATATGTAGATATGGAATATGTAGATTGGAATATGTAGATAATTCATTTACAGATATGTGAGAGTTTATGATATTGTTATAGTCTTAGTTGAGCATGAATACTTTTGATAAGCAAAGTATTAAATTCATCAGCTCATTCAGTAAGCATAGAACTCTTGCTATGCAATAGTGCTGCTTTAAACTGTGAACAAGTAACACTGAATATAAATGACAAAATCTCCCCACCCCTGCACAACTGATGCTTTAGTAGGAGAAACACCAAATAAGCAATGAACACAGTATAATGTCTGGTTATGCTGGCTGTAATAATGAAGTTGGTTAAAGAAGCAGAAAGTGTGTAGGGGACTGTTTTAGCTTTATCCATGAAGATCTTTTTCAGGACATGACTTTGGGAGTAGACCCCAGTCTGGCCTTCTCATTTACCCTGCATGGGTAATCCTTGCCCTTCCATGCCGGGCTCCATCCAAGGATACTGACTGGTGAAGACAGTCCATCTGTGCTTCTCTGCCACTGGTTTGACACCAGTAGGAGACTGGAGGGAGAGGAAGAAAAAAGACCGGTTAGGGTGATTCTTTTCTATTTTATTCTAGTTTATTCTCCTTTCATTTCCTCCCATGTGGATGGCTTCCTGGAGCTTTCTCAACCCATGACCTCACTCTCACTGCTCAGCGGTAACATCATGTTCTCTTCCCGTTTCTTCAACCCTAGGCACGGTGCAAGCCACTTCCTGTTCCTCAGTGCTTTGAAACTCCTTGTTTTTCTTTTCACCCCAGCATACTCCAATAAAGGTAGTTTCACTAATCTCTCTTCATGTAATGGTTGGAGAGACGTTCTGTTTCCTAGTAGGACATTGACAGATGCAGATTTGTATGAAGTGAAGGAGAAAATCAAATAAATATCAAGGGAAAAACATTTCAATTAGAGGAAACAGTAAATACAGAAGTCATCAGGGAAGTGCACACTTGGTGTGTTCCAGAACACAGATATTTAAGAGTTTATTGTATTATTCTGATTTTCTTAAACATTTGTAAGTTATTTTGAGATTGGTTAGAAACATTATTGGGAAGATGATCAAATTGGACACAACTGAAACAAGTTTTTAATTTTTATATGTATTTCATTTTACTTGAAATGGAGAGGGAGAAAAAAGGGAGAGAGAGAGAGAGAGAGATCTTTCATACTCTGGTTCACCCCTCAAATATTCATGATATCCAGGCCAGGCTGGGCTGAAGCTGCACTCTGGGAACTCAGTCTGTGTTTCCTGGGTGGGTGGCAGGGAGCCCATGACTTGGACCGTCACTTGTAGCCCTCCAGAGAAGACATTAACAAGAAGCAGGAACTGGAAGAGGAGCTGAAACTGAAATTCAGGCACTAGATTATGGAATGCAGGTGTCCAAGCCATGTAATAATCATTGTACCTATCCAGCCCCTGTGATGGTGACTTTGACATAAACCACCAGTGAGTGACAGCAAGAGCTGAACATGATTTGTCATACATTTTTAAACTACGTGAGATAACGTCAAGGAAGACAGACTCTTAAAAGGAGAAGGAGAAACAGAAATGTTTTCAATTAATTGAGTAAATATTGGTTTTCCGCTAATTTGTCTTGCATTCAGACATACAGCGTGATTTTTACCTTCACACTTGCGCATTGTATTCAAGGCCCACAGTTGCTGTCATCGTTGCTTTATCCAAGGCTTGCCTGACATCCTTTGTTGTCTTGCCTGTTAATGAGACATTGGTGCTGACGTCTGGATGAAATTGATTTTGAGGGAGAGAATAACGGTAATTTAATCAGCATCAACCAAATTTAATCAGTTTCTTCTTCTTATATGGCTAAATTCTAGAACTCAGATTGTATCTGCGGTTTTCACCTTATAAGATAAAAATAGAAATGTTCCCTTTCCCAGAAGTCATTAGTGAGCTGGTACAGCTAATTATAGCTGATGAATTCTATTCAGGTGGAAACAAATGCAAATGTTTGAACTGGACTGACTGAAATAAGGTATGTGCAGAAAGGCACTGTTCTTTCTCAGACCACAGGTCAATATCAGGTGGAATACTGCGGCAGCAACAGCCGAATTCATTGGGCACAAGTAACATAATGACTGTCTAAAGATTGTATTTATATACAAGTTTGGAATTTGGGGCATAGAGAGGGATTAGAGCAGTCAGTCTGTCCATCCCTTTCAGAGAGAATAAAATTTAGGTTGTATTTAAAAGTTATTATTTAACCAATAGTAATTTGTTAGTAATTTGTTAAGAGTATTTTAGTTACCCTTAGTTCTCACTTGTCAATTACAATATTGAATGAATAATTTCTTCTGGTGGAATAAAATCTTTAAGTCTGCATTCACATTCATATTTTATGTTTGTTATAATGAGGAATGGAAAATGAGTGATCCTAACCCTCCCGCAAGAGCCAGGGGAGACAAATCTAGGAGAGGAAAAGGAAAAGTTAAACCTAGAAAAATGAGCAAAATAAGAGCCAACATGTACGCAGGCCACAAATGTGGTTGATAGTATTGCACGGTAGCACAGCCATCCCGCGGGAGTATTCTCAGACCAGCAGAGGGCGTGAGTCAGGTGAGCAGCAACTACACATGGCCCAGCCGGTCACATGGTCCTCAGGGAAAGCCACTATTCCCAGTGGGAACAGACTCCTGTTCTTTTGTTTGACCCACTTCCAATGCCTCTCTTTACATAGCAAAAGGCTGGAAGGTAGAACCTGTGTATAACGCTGTAGTAATAATCTTAAAGAAGTAAATATTTGTTCAGTGGAAAGAATTTGAGGATTCATAAACAATAATCATAGATACTACATTTTCTGTTTTTTAATATTCGTCAGGAGCATACAGATATCTGTAAGTAACACTGGAATTATTAAGCAAATATGAGTTAATGTAAAAAAGAAATATGTAACCAGACACTAGGAATAAAGTATTGCCAAAATGACCACATCAGGCCTTATGTGTGGGAAACAAAGAAATGCAATTAGCAGTGTGTATTAAAGAGGGAGATTGTGATCTAATGGCAGAGGTAGCTGGAACAGGGAGGGCTGGATCACTGTCATAACTAGAATGTCAGCATATATGGAAGCAGTCCCATCTAGGAGAAGTCAGGAAGAGAAGGAGGAGCAGGCCACGGTGTGTCAGAAAGATTGATAATGTCTGAGAGATGACAGTGAAGAATGTGGTGACGAAATCTTGAAAAGGGCTTGCAGAAGAGAAAAAGTAAAAGAAATTGTTGTGTAAAGATCCTGAGGCATGAATACTATTAGCTTATGTTAATATTAATCTCACCCCTCCAGTTTCTCATGGTATTGGTCTTACCCTTTAAACATCTCCCTCCGACCTCAAGTCAGGATTTAGATACGCTGGAAATTCAGATCTGAAAATCAGACCCTGTGAAGTGGCGCAAACAGAAGAGGTTTCAGGAATTGGCATTGCGGTATAAATGGTAAACCCACCATCTGTGGTGCAAGTATC